TGTAGAGTCATCGGCAGGGTTGATATTGATCCACACTTTCAGGGGCCCATGCAGCAGAAGGGGAGACTGCAGCGGGCCGGTAAGCCCTCCGAGCCTTCTGTCTAATTTGGCAGAAAAACACAGAATGTAGGACAACAAAAGAAGGCTCCTTTTCCGTAAAAATTCTTGCCTCCCACCCACCCCTCTTCCCCAAAAAAGGGACTTAATTTTTCAGCTGCTCACAGTGATTTGGTGCTCACTCTTGCATTGAAACAGTTGCTGTCTGAACAGGCAGGAAACAGTTTTCTTTTAATTGCTGAAATCATTCGGAAGTGCTTCATGCCCTGCTTCTATACAGCAGATGCTGTGCATTAATTGGCCTGCATAGAAGTGACCCAGGGTTCCTTGCAGCGGGGCCCAATTTTAGGCAGAGGGCTTAAATAGCTTATTTTTATTTTGTATAATCTGGCGTACATTATGTACGTCCGCACGTGTCGTATTTCATGGTCTGCAATTTCTAATGTCATATGGGTTTCAAAACCTGTGTTTCTCTGGTAATGTAATAGCAGCAGGTAAGCTCAAAATACCATCCATCAGGAGCTAATTTTTTATCCAGATACCACAATGACTGATGAACCTGTCTTTTGTGTGAACGTTTAGCACAGTAGAAAGCCATATGCCACTGGCACCGTTTCCTGTACATTCTTTACAGTTGCTGGAGAGTAGGCTTCGGGCGGGGGTGGGGGGAGCGCTCCCTGACATTATGTCCTCCTTCCTCCACTTAAAGGATAACTCCTTTAAAACGGCCCTGGTTTTGGACGACAAAAGAGGGTAGGGGCCATCTTCGAGGAAATCCGACTCCCATACTCATTTTCTTGATCAGAAATAGGACTGCACACTCTTAATAGGGAACCTTGTTTTGTTATTCCCCGTCTGTTCAAAACAGACCTTCGCCCATTAGAAGGGCCTCCCCTGTGTGGGAAGAGCACAGCTGTTACTGTAAACCTCATCCCATCACTGTATCACCCCCATTTTGTGGCTCTGAAGGATGAAATTGAGAAATGGAATACTGTGCAGTCAGCCTTTACATCTCCAATTTTAGGCCTTTGCCATCATTTTCATGCTTTTATTCCAAATCAAATAACATTAGTGGGCTACACCATCTTCTGATAAATGTCTGCTCTCGAGCACAGCTTTCAAGTCTGGACTTTTGGGGGCTTCCTTTTATGTTTGGTGGAGGTCTTTTTTTCCCCCCTTTATCTGCTCATCCTCTCTCCGCACTTTCTTTGAGCTTTCTTCGGCATTTGCAGTCTGAACGATACAAGTTGCCAAACGTGTCCCGGTCTTAGTGTGCTTTCCAAGAGGGACATGTGCAGGAGAAGGTTCTGTGCCTTTTCATCTTTGGGGAAGGAGTGAAGCGAACTGGTAGAAGGATATTGGGGGCTTTAATCAGAAATAAGAAGGGTTCTTAAATCATTAGCACAACAAAGCATACTATAAGCTTGAAGATAAAAGTCTCTGGGGGAAAGAGTCCTCTGAAAATAAATGGAACTTGATAGATTTCCATATCATTTATAACTTCCCTTAATTACACTTGGAAGACTTGCCAGTAAAACTGGAAAATTGGCAGCCTAGATCCATTAGAGTCATTTTGCCGACCATGGCAAGCAGCTGGCTTTACTGGATTTTATTTCCCATCACTCACAATTAATCATCAGCTGGAGATGTCTGAAACTCTTCAGCACAGAGCACTGCTGCCTGACATTCAGGCCTCCTAAACATACTAAAATCTGCTGAGTAAATGGGCCGGGTTTTCTGTCCAGCTTACTCATTTTGGAGTGAGGCAGGCCCTTGCTTAATGAGTGCACCCTGATAATCGGATGCGAATGTGAACCTTGACCCCACGTCAAAGGAGAAGATGCAATAAACCGGATGAAAGATACAAGACTGGGGCCTCCAAACTTTACACCAATTAGACGGGCAGCAGAGAAGTCCATCAGGTTGACTAGGTTTATCGAAAAGACTGATGAGGCTTGTGACCATTTTGTAAGCCCAACGTCAGAGACCTCTTGTCACAATCAGTGAGTCTTTGTCAGATGATGCACAAAAGTGTTAGAGAAGTGTGCGCACAAACCCTTCAGAGGCCGTGCCCTCACACAGGAGCTGTCCGAGCGCTCCCTGTCCATGCGAGCACCTGGGGAAATGCGGAAGGTGTCCCCGTGCAGGGGAGGCTCTGGGAAGGGGAGAGGGGTGGAGGCATGGGTGGGGGAGAGGTGGGCAGGGGGACATCTGGGGGGCAGCAAGCCCCATGTAGCTCCTCTGGCTGCAATTATGGAGGGATGAAATAGTGTGAATTTAGATCGACTCCGTGTGTGCGTAACACAATTCTGCTGACCAAGACGTTCCTCACTATTTTGTGGGGTCCCAAGGAACAACCTCCAAGAGTTGTCTCTTTTAAGGATCAGTGAGTGAAAACAGACTACAAAACCCATTGCCTAAGTAGGCAGAGAGGGAGAAACAAATTACTTAAGTTCCATCCAGACCTAAGTAGAAATGGAGAACTGCAGACCAAGGGAGGTGACAGGAGGGGACAGCAGGCCCGGGTTGCAAGGATTGGATGTGGATTCAGGGCAGTGCTGCCGGTCGGGCCCCTGTAAATCCAGATGCACTTTCTTTGAAGTCCTTTTAATAAATTGCCAGAATCACACAACAAAAAAAGTACTGTAACTTTGGGACTTTCCCACCTCTCTTGATTATCTCTGTCTAAATGAGAGGTTTTGTTTTTCTGAGTAGTTTGATTGGAGACCTGCCACTTGAGTCACCTGGAGGGCACCTCTTTGCAAATGATGCAGGGTACAGCACCCAGAGCCAGCCAGGAAGGATGGTCAGAGGGCAGCAGGCCCTGATCTAAGCACCACCGTGGCCCAGGCTCCACTGCCCTTCAGCGTGGGCCCTTTGGCATCCTCGTCAGATTGGTCTGTGCCCCCTTGGTATGACCACTGGAAATCCCCTGGGTTCCTATGTGCATTAACCATGAATTCACTTAGTTGAAGTTCGCATAAAGGACCAGTGGGGGGCGCTCTGTGTGGCCTGCAGATTCTGGGGGGTGGGCCAAGCAGCTGAGAGGGATCACACCTGCTGCAGAGGGGGCTAGATTGTGCCCTCCACCCCAGAAGCCCTCTGGGCCAAGGATGGGGAGACGGGAGCCTCTGAGCAAGCCCTGGGCTCTTTGATGACAGCAGAGGAAGCCCAACTGGGTGGAGGCTGCGGGGCAAGCTCACCTGGGTCCCCGCTGTGGGCACTCATCCACCCCATGAAGCAAAGAGCTACCAGAACCCAGAGGTGAAGAGCTGATTACTAATTTGGGGGGAGAATTTCCGTTCTGTTTTGTTGAGTTTCAGATCCATTTCCAGAAATCCACTGGGACCTGACTGGGACATTGCATCCTGGAGGTCAGCCCAGGCTCCCCAGCCTCCGTGAGATGGTGCTATGGGTCCACCGGAGTTTTATGGGTGGAGCTAAGTGGCAGGTGCTACCCTAGGGGACTTGGCCTTCTCTTGTCTCACGGGGTCCCTGCCTGCCTCTGAAGAGTAAAAAAAAAGCCCTGAAATGAGGACTGGAGAGGGTAGCTGTGCTGCCACCCTGCCTGCCGTCCCTCTGCCTTGTGAAGAGCAGCCCTCGAGTGTGGATTCTTCACTCTATGGAATGCAGATGCCAGGGGAAAATGAATCAAAACAGGCAGTGAGCACAGCGCTTCAAAGCCCAGCTCCCCAGCACAGCGTCTCTCTCCTGTGCCAGCATCGAGCCTTTGGCATCCCCTCTCTTCCTAGATTTCTGTGCCAGGAAAAGGCAGCCCACCACCTGATCAGCAGAGGAAAGGAAGGCACAGGGCGCAAGCAGTCCCAACTGCCAGCAAGACAGCTTGTGCCGCGCAGGGAGCCGGAGGGGGAGCTCGGGGATCATTTGGGGATTTCAGGAAAGAATATTCTCTGGGCGCTCCTGCGACCCTGAGCCAGCACAGCCGCAGTGGTGTGTGTCCAGGAGCTCCACACCGGGATGCCCACCAGCACCCCGAAACAGCCAGCCAGTTGCCCTGGGAAACTCAGCTTTACCATTTCAAGAACTGGGAGGCCCTTCTCACAAGGATAGGAGAAAAATTCGGCCCAGGTCCATGGTGCTTACCCACCTGGGGCAGCAGAAAGAGGATTCATAGAGTGGCTTTTGGTCACAACTGCCTCCTGGGTTGAAGTCCTAGGCTTAGCCAGGGAGCTCATTCTCAGCCTCCCCTGGCTTGCCCCCCAACCCCACCCCCCTCCAAGGAAAGGCAGGTAGAGCTTGAGCCCACGCTTGTGGGGCTACGGGTCTCTGTGCAAGCACTGGGTGCAGCTGGAGAAAGCATTCCCTGTGCTGGAAGACACCTTCCAGGAGCCACCCCATTGTTCCTGGGCATGTCTTGCTGAGGTTAAGACAGTGGTCCCCCAGCTGGCCATGGTTCCCAGCTCCCCAGGACTAAGGACAGAAACACTCCATGTTTCGGTGACAGCTTTGCTGAGATAAAATTCACATCCAGTATGGCTCAGCCCCTCACAGTGTACACTTAGTGGTTCTCTTCGATTCCTGGAGTCACTCGTGCGACCATCACCACAGGTAATCTAGAACACCCCCCCTCTCCCACAAGAAACCCTGTGTCCATCAGCAATGGCTCTCCTCTTCTTCCCATCCCCTAGAAACCACAAATCTTCCAGTCTGTAGAGATGTGCCAAGTCTGGACGTTTCACATAAGAGGAGGATGTCCCATTTTTGCCACGTCTTGGTGGTGCCTGATGAAGATCAAGGGAATGGTCCTTCTCTGCTGTCCCCTAAAGATTCACTTGGAACATAAAATATTAGAGGTCATTGCTGCTGCTTGGGTAACATTTCCGAGCATGTGACAAAGAATCTCTTGATGGCTTCACTCCTGAGTGTTGCTGCAAAACTAGAGTGGTTTTAAAACTTGTCTTTTTTCCTATTCGTTTTTCCAGGTAGCAGAAGGTCAGGAAATTTGTGTGATTGAAGCCATGAAAATGCAGAACAGTATGACAGCTGGGAAAACTGGCAAGGTATGTCCCCAAGTTCCCACCAGCCCTCGCTGCTCTTGACAGGAAGCAGAACTTGCACCTTTGGCTTTTGGATGGTCAGGCCTGGAAGGGACCGTGGGGGTGACCACTGCCAACTCCTGCCCCTGCAGTCCAGGTGCAGGTAGTCAAAGAACAATTCTTCTTCACCTTAATGTCTTTCAAATTAAGGGGTCTTTAATTTTTAATGTTTACATCTGTCTTGGAGGCAGTTAGTGATCTGAGACTTACATGACACAGCAGGAAATGGTTTTAGAGATTGCAAGAATTAATGTTAACTCTTCAAGATAATTTCTCCACAAAGAGAACAATTCAATTTCAGATCAAGAGGAGCTGAGAACCCCGTGTACGCACGTGGGATGTAATGATTTGGGGAGAAAAAACGGACTTGTATTTGTCCTGAAACTTGCTAAAACTTCTTACATGTATTTTCTCCTTGAAGAAAATAGAAAAGTCCTTTTATTAAAAACTTCATTATCCTTCCTGCTTCTAAGAAGATGCCACACTAGCAGAATGAGCCTTTTCCGAAGGACAGCTTGGTTTGGAGGTGTCTGCATCCTGGAGTGAGGTGGGGCAGGGTGGGACAAGGAGAGGAGCCATGGCCACCATGGCCTGCCCTTTGGCTGTAGCTGAGACCGAGCCAGGGGTACGGGGGGGTCCCTGGGAGAGAAGTACTGTCCGCTCACAGTGTCATTTGTCAGAGGGATGCAGCCTTTGTCATCTCAAAAGGAAGTGAAGCTGCTGGCCCAGCCCGCAGGTCTGGCAGCGAGGACAGAGGCCGGGTTTGTGGTGGGTGGGCTTGGAGCTGCCCGGTCAGGCTGGAAGAGGCTGCCATCAGCTGGGCCCCATCTCTGTGGCGTTTGGGAGATGAGAATGGCACAATTTGGGAATCCAGTTTTGGGGAATCCTGCCCTCTACATCTGATGACTTTTCTAAAAGTGAACCAAAAATTGTATCTGTTCTTTTGGAAATTGTTGTTTTTGCTCCTGGGATTACTTAACATTTATGTGACATTAGTGTCACAAAATGTCCTCGTGTGATAAGAACCTGGCCTCACTTGGGGGGGGGGCAGATTAAATAAATAAATATATATTTGTGTGTGTGTGTGCGTGCGTGCGTGTATGCATGTCAGATGCCTGCCAGGGGCCGCCCATGTTGCTGGACTGGGGTACTGACTCACAACAAACATGGCTTTAGCTCCCTAGTCTGTCACTGTGTTGTGTGGCCTCATGGTGGGTCTTGTGTGGAGGCTCAGCTGATCCCTGGCCCTTGGCAGCCCCCAGTGGCTTTCAGGGAGGTGATGGGCTCTGGGTCAACTTGTACTTTGGCCGAAGCCCTATCATCTGGAGCCCTTCCTGGCCATCCCATTTCCTTCTGCCCCCAGGGGTGCCCTGGGAGTGGCTAGAGCCCCGGCCCAGAGGAGCAGACCCTGGAGAGCCTGGGGACTAGCAGTTCTTATCTGGAGAGCCATTTTTCCTCCCAGAGAAAATGTGCACAATGGAAACCGGTCCTCCGTGTAGTCCTCGCAGCATGAAAGATACATCCTCTGCAAACATCGGAGGCTTCAGATCAGAAAGAGCAGCCAGTGCCAGTAGCACCTACCAGGCCTTTGAAGTAGTCACTGCATAGCTTCGCATGATTCTGAAGGCTCCTGGGCTGGAATTCAAGGGAGAAAGGCCCTCCTAGGCCTTGGCTTCCTAGCGGAGCAGCAGGGACGCAGGCCAGGGCACCTGACCTGTGCGGTCCAGGACATTCTTCCTGTTTGCCAGGTCTCAGGTGGCCAGGAAGTCCTCGCCCACCGTTTGTTTTTATGCCTGAGCAAGAACCTCCCAAGAAGTCCAAAGGCTGCTTCTCTCCACTCCAGTACCTCCCCACTCATTTTAAAGCTGAACACAAATTCAGGAAAGCAAAACATATCTACAACTGAGATAAATGAGTAGAACGGAAGGGCAGTGTGGCACGGCCATGGGGCTTAGCCTCTGTTCCACATTAGGCCACAAGCACCGTCCATGCAGCCGCACATCTTCGGAGCGTTTCGTTTCCCTTCAGAAGGAAGTTTATGATCTCAGGCTACAGAGTTTCTCCAGTTAATTAGTGGTCCCTGTTTTGTTTGAATCTTGTAGAACTATGTGGGTTTTTTTTTTTTTTAAGCACTAAACCAAGTATGCATTAACTCGTAGAAACTATTTATGCCACCTGTAGCTGCAGGAGGGCTTGGGAGGGCTGGCTGTGGAGGGTTCACCTGGCACAAGTGCTTCTGGCTTCTAGGATGCAGTGCAGACCCTGGGGGTACCCAGGGCAGGGCCAGTGGGCAGACGTCAGCACAAACTCCGTTGGACTAGCCACTTCTGGGACAGCCAAGGAGAGGCCAGGAGGTGGGAGACGGGAGGCGGCAAGTCACAGCCCTCAACGAGGACATAGCTGTGCGTGAAGTCCCCTCTGCCGAGTGGGAGCTGACTGTGCTACCTGTGCGCAGGACCTGCCAGGCTAGGCTGTCTCTTCATTTCCAGAAGTGGATGATGAGCTGGCTCCCTCATGGTCTAGTTAATAATTCTTACTACCCCCCCTTTTTTAATTCAAGGTGAAATCAGTGCATTGTAAAGCTGGAGACACAGTTGGAGAAGGAGATCTGCTCGTGGAACTGGAATGAAGTATTTATAGCCTTTCAGTCATCACCCAATTTAATTAGCCATTTGTATTATTATTATTTCACACTCAATTTATTCAAGCGTTTTGCAGGAACACCCCTGTGCAGCAGATTTTACATGGTCATATTTATTCCACATATAGTCAAAACCAACATTCTGCCAAAAAATCACCAATGGAAATTTTTATTGATATAAATACTTGTACATATGATTTGTACTTCTGCTGTGAGATTTCCTAGTGTCAAAATTAAATCAATAAAGCTGAGCATTTGTCTAAATATTAGTTTGGCCTTTTTTTGAATGAAGACAATGTACATAAGAGGCGACTGGCTGTGCCTAGACTTTAAATACTAGTGTTTCATTGTGATCTTTAAAAAAAAAATCTATATAAATCCTAGTTCTTTGCCTTAGTTTCATTAAATAATCATTTGCCACCTCATAATCTGATTACCTACGTCTCCTGGTTGAGGCCCTCACTCTGGTCTGTGGCTATACCTGACTTCCAAAAGCCTGTGCAGGACCCCCACCCAGGAGCTTGGAAACCCCCTGCCACCTGCCCCGCCTCCCCCAGGCTTTGCTGGGGCTCCCTGGCCTGAGAGTGGTGGGTGTGGCTGCCAGAAGCCCATCAGTTGATACCCATCCTTGCCTTTTTGTGTTTTTGTGAAGCAAGTTTCCAATTAAGAAAAAAGGGCTAAAAATACTGATGGTGTTTTTGTGCCAGATGCAGTTAGTAATCATAGTCTACCATTAAGTTGAAGAGCAAGTGAGCTCTCCCAGCGGAGAACGAGGTTACTAAGGATCAGCAGCTGCGTTTTCACTGCTTCTGAAATTCTTGGAATACATTTCATACTTTGCTGGTAAGTAAGCAGAGGCAGAGGCGTGTGCTGATCTGAATCTACACTGACAGATTATCAGATGGAGGTGGGTAGTAATTGGTACTTCGTGCCTTGCTAAAATTATTTTAAGTGCTGTTTGTATTTGGAAGCTAAGCTTTCTGTCAGGCCTGAAGAACAAATTACTAATGTGTTGGTTCTTCTCTGAAAGGCCCCCGTACTCCCTAAACACCGCTCCCTCTGGGGGCAGGGACAGCACCTTGCCCCTTGGGCTCGGGTCAGCTTCTAGCTGACATCAGACTGCTCAGCACTATCTGCCAGCAAGTAGGTGGCTTGTTATATTGCTAGGTTATAATGAAAAGAACCTTCTACCAAGTAAGTAACAACCCCCCCCCCAAAAAAAAACCCCAAAAGTAGTACCAACACTTTTAAATTCGGTTTCCCAAAACATCCAGTTTAATGTTACATGATCATCCTTAGTAATCCCTTATTTAATAAGGTTGATCTGAAAATTGTGAATAATGATGTTTTATATGCTTTAAAACTACCCCCAAAACACAGTATGTTTTTCTTGAGATTATTTTATTAATGCTGAGATAACCCAAATCAGTTTAAAAATTCATCTCACTGTGACAGGTTAGAATCAATACAGTGGGGTTGCTAAAATCTAGCTGCTACACAAAGTCTACATTTTAAATGTTATCTTCAGATCAAAGCAAAGCAAAAAAGAAAGAAAGAAAAGTATGACATGAGTTCTTGAAATGTCATTTAGGGGAATTAAAATCCTGGATCTTCCTTATCCCATCCATTCAAGCCCAGGGCGTTCCTGAAGCAGCAAGCAACAAAGCGCTAGCAGAGAGATGGGCTTCAGGCATAATCTTGTGATCAGTATGTCAAAATATTGGGGAAATCGGCTACAACTGAAAGAGAGATTGTTCCTTTTCCCACAGATTTTTACAACTGTGTGTTTCAGGGAGCATTATTCCACTTGTGCATTCAGTGGTGTGGTCCGAGGGGAGGCATCCGGGGCTTACCATCTGTCCACAATCTCATCATCACCAGGGCTCCCTCTGTCCCCTGGTCAAGGAGCAGTCCTGGCACTTCTCACCTGTTCTCCCGTGGATTATAGCGCAGCCCATGTTTCCCGTGGGAGTCATAGTTGTCATGGGATGGGAGGTGGACCCACTCAGGTGAGTAGGTGCCTGTGCTGTACACGAAGCACTGCAGGGTCCCGTCTGAGGCCAGCGTCTCCTCAGGGGCTCCCTGTGTGTCCTCCCACTCGAGGACGGCGATCCTCACCAGCATGCGCTGGTACATGTCGGGGCAGCCCTCAAACTCATCCAAGAAGCGCAGCATCTGCTCATCCACAGCATAGATCTCCCCGACCACACACTGCCCCTGCCCCGGGAGGTTCAGCAGACGTGGGATGTTGTGCTCGCCAGCAATCACCAAGGGGTACGGTTCCACCGTGCGGCCCCGGCCTTGGAAGGCCGCGCAGCCGTTGGTGCCATCCAGCAGGACCTTGTGGTTGGGCTGGCCTCTCTTCAGAGTCCCATACACAAACACAGGGGCCATGCGGGCCACAGAAGCTGCGGGAGAGAAAGGAAGCAGACTGTACACACTGTGTGTGGCAGAGAAGGATCTTTCCATCTTAGTGGGGGTTGGATACTTCGGGAAGGGCTCGACAGGAAGTACTCCAGGCTCTGTTGGGCCAGCAGCTGCTCACGAGCCCCGCACAGCCTAGAGCCCACTACTCTTGCCCCTTGTGTGGTGGGCCCTACGGCTCCAGGAAACACCAGCCACCCTTTAGAGTCTTCTGGGCGGAGGCACTCATTTACGACCATACCTGCCAGAAGGAGACTGCCTGCCTTGGGATCAAGCCCTGCAGAACTGCCGTTTCTTAGGCCGGTTCATTTTCAATCTTTTTGAAAAGACTTTAAAAGTTATACCATAAATATATTTTATTAGAAAAGTTAGAAATACCAATAAGCAAATATATGTACATACACATGTGCATAGACACACACGTATAAAATAGTCACATGTAGTCGGCTACAAGAGATTATTCAGGTGTCAGTACTAAATTTACAGTCTGGCCCTGGCAGTAGGACCCAGTAAATTTTAACAATCACACCTTCCTTTTCAAGGTCCTAGAGGGTAATGAGGCTTCCCTGTGACTCACTGTGACTCAGCGCGGCAGCCTTGGCTCTTGTCGTGAAGGTAAATATTTATTGCTCACTGGGGTCTGGGCCACAGATTGTTACATAATTGATAAAAGTCATTTGTGTTAAAGTGACTCAAACCAAACTAGAAATGAAGTTAAAGTGGGCCTCTCCTCAGGGCCTGGCATCTCGCTGCCCTACATGCCCAGCGCTGTGTGAGGACAGCAGGCTTTGGAAGGAAGACACCTTGCACAGGAATACAAGATGCATCCATGTGCTGGCAGCAGCCTGCCCCCTGCCAGGAACACCTGGAGGGTGACACCCCCTAGGTGCCAGTCACCTGGCAGGTGGCCCTTAGGGGAAGTCACATTTGGCTCACAGGAGTTGCACTTTTTGGTGTGGGGGTCTCAGCCTCGACTCACCTCCTCAGGGCGTCTGGGGAGGGTGCACGGCCCCCACAGACCCGCTGCCTCTATCACCAGCCTGCAGAGTGTCAAGAGTTGCACAGGTATCGGGTAAACTGCGGTCGGACAGGCTTGGCTGTGAGAGCAGCACCAGGTTGGCCGAACATGTGCATACCAGGCAACATTGGGACACCTTGAGCAGGACAGGGGACATGGTGGGAGCTCTAGTTCTAGTGACTCCAGTGACAGGAAGGACAGATTAGAGCTGTGGGGTATGACAGGGAGGCATGCTGGGCATGAGAGTCTGGAGGTGAGTCAAGGAGAAGATAGAGTGCAGCCATAGAGGGAAAAGGACATTGTGGGCACCAAGGAGCTGAAGGTGACAGGGCTGCTGCTACAGGGGACCAGAGAGGATGGGCAAACCTGAGCACAAAGAGGGCGTCAGGAGGAGCCACGAGGGGTGGGGGAGGCTTGCGCCAGCCTTGGAGACAGACATTCAGGAGGAGCCTCCTGACTCCCCCAACACTTGCATCCCATTTGCTGGTGCCATCTGGCCACAGCTCCTCCAGGGGAACCCAAGGTCCCTCTCTCACCCTGGTCGCCATCACTACCCTCGCCCAAGGGCTGCCCCCAACCCCAACCAGACCTGCCTTTGTGTTCCCTGCAGCCTTGGGCCCTCCGCAGGGGGCACAGAGGCCTCCCCCGGCTGGCCTGGAGCAGCACCCAGCAGCCCCGCACCACCCCGACATGCTCTCCGTGGTCCCTGCTCTCTGAGGGGCTGCTGGTCCTGGTCCCGGCGGTTAAGAGCTAGAAGGAAACATGGAAACATTAGGTCTAGCGATGCCCACACTCAGGCTGGTGAGGATCTGAGTGTGCACAGCCAGGCAGAGCGAGTCATCATGGAGACGCGCCATCACTGCTGCCCGAGCTCTTCTCCTCTTTAAGTTTTTAAAGTAATACGTGTCCGTGATGTCAAAGTCCAATAGCTTTACCAGAACAATTAAGCCACCTACCCTTTCCACAGCCTGGGCGGGGACGGGGGGAGGGGGGGGCAGTACTTTTAAGCCTTCAAGCTGTAGCATTTGGTGTTTCTCTTCATATTGTTGACTTGCCCTGACTTCTTGATGTTTTAAGTGTTACCTGCCAACCCCCGAAGCAGGTGAACAGAGTGGTTTAAGGCACAGACTTTAGAACCCCATTGCCAGGGTTGTGACGTCAGGCAAACCACTTAACCTCTCTGCCTCGGCTGTAAAAGGAAGTAATGGCAACCTGCTCAGCAAGTGAGTACACCCGGGCCGCACTCCCCGCTGGCTCAGCGGACTCCCGCTGTCGCTGTTCCCGCCTGCGTCTGGCGCACCGCTCTGCCCCGCATCCCTCCGGCTGACCCCGTCACAGTTTTGGTCAAATCCATATTCATGTCAGCATTAGAACTATGTAAACACTGTTCTCAGATAAGGCACATAGCGTACTATCATTAATTTCCTTTCTTGGACAACTTTTCTGTTTTTCTTGGAATTAAAAATTGCTTGCAGCTTTTTCCCTCCTCTGCTCAAGCTTCTCTGACAGTAATTCAGCCTCTCGGTTTCAGAGTTTCAGAAAGCATCCTTTCAGCATTCACCACCGTTAAAGAACAAAAGTCAAACTCTGTAGTGTGAAGATGTAATTGCCTGTATTACTCGATTCATGAGTCAGGCAGCATCCCACCGGGCACACGGGCACGCAGGAATTGTACTAAAGGGAAGGCTCCAGGATGGCCGGTGGGGCAGGGAAGTTATTAGCAAAAGAAAAGGACTGTTCTGGGCAAGGGCACCTTCCCTCGGAGGGCAGAGGACAGAGGACAGGAAGCCAGGCGGTCTTACTAGCAAGTTACGCTGCTCCGTTCCTCTGGGGATGGAGGAGGGCTTGGGTGACACATTACCTCATAGGTGCTCATCAGTCTAGAGAAGTTACTAAGGAAGTCTGACAGCACAAAAAGGTCAGGTATAAAGTCCCGGTTTAGTGACTTAGCCTAAAATGCAGCCATTTGGGGCCTCTTCTTTTTTAAAGTTTATTCATTTAAGTAATCTCTATACCCAATGTGGGGCTGGAACCCACGACCCCAAGATCCAGAGTTGCATGCTTTTCCGACTGAGCCAACTAGGCACCCCTGTATCTCTTTTTAACCACTACCCACTGGTTTCCATTCATGTTCCCCTGGAGCCCATCCTGCTCCTGTCTGGGTACTGCTGCCTTCTGGGACGTTCCGCGATGCCATCCAGGGCTTCTGTGAGCCAGTGCCAGAGCCTGGCACTTGGATCCCATGGCCCCTTCTTGGTCGACTCCCTCATTTTGCTGAAGCTAATTCTTTCCCACCTTTAATTCACAGCGTGGCTCAGGAGAGAATTCTAGAAACAATTTTCTTCAGAACTTTATTTTTTTGTTTAAAAAGCCTTTATTCATTTTTGCTCAGGGAAAGGACAATCTCAATGTCAACTTGTCACCTATTCATAAATTTTAACTTAACAGGATTCACTGCCCTAAAGACACTGCACCTACAGACTTTTGACAACATAACTTAAAATGAAAATCTCCCTTGTTCCCTAAGGTTGCATGTTTAAAGAATAAACAGTCCCTTGCAATAACCAACCTTGGTACTTGGCCTAAGTTTAAGGTCAAATAGCAAAACAAGAGCAAAAGGAGGCCAAGTGCATTGTAACTTGATAGCCAGCAAGTACAAACATCGTTGAACAAAGTTGCAGGCACCAAATAAAACAAAAGGCAGGTTCATCAGCAAGAAAAATTTACAGTTCGAAGGTGAGATCAACTATTCCACATGTGAACATGTAGGTCAATACTAGAGACTAATGTGGAACCACAGAAACAAAACTTCTATCTTAGTACCAACTAAACTGAACGTAAAATTCAAAACTTGAAATTACCCAGAAATTCTCCAAAATCTAAAGCTAAAACTGCCTCTTGATGCACCAGAAAGATGTTTTAATGACTGGGTCACTTAGATTTGCACCAACATACGTAAAATTTGAAGTGTATTTCCCCCCACTACTCTTTCCTATGTCTGAATCTGGGTATGCTTAACTACTCAGCTCATGCACTAATGCATTAAAAATGATGAAACCTACTACCATGACTTCTTAAACTCACACCACCTTAACAGTTAATACCCAAAATAGCTTCCTGAAAATGCCCCAATATCAAACTTTTTGTTCAGTTTGGTGCTTGCTGTGACAATACAGAACAGAATACAACTAATTTCCTCAGCCACTACATTTCCAAGTAACTGAATTTAACTTTTGCTCAAGTTTCAACCCACCTATCTGCCAAAATGCTTGTTAAAATTTAACCATCTCTGATACTTTTTTTTTATTTTTTTAATTTTTATTTATTTATTTATTTATTTATTTATTTGTTATTTATTTATTTATTTTTACATCTCTGATACTCTTAAACTGCAGCTCCTATACACAGTTTAACAGTGCCTTTCCCTGTGTCTATCTGGACATTTTAATCAAGAGAATTAAAGTCATGGTATTATGATTAGCCAAAGCTCTTCCTAGCAGACTGATTCTGATTTAGCATATAATAAATGGCTTCCCAGAGATAGAAACAAACAAACCACAATCTTTTCTATTCATGAAAGGAGCTACCAACATGCCTTGTGCCAAAAAGGTGCACTTTTCCAAAAACACAGTCCAGAAGATTGATGGTCAGCTGGAAATCTTCCACTAATGACAACATTAAGACAAGCTCTCCGGATACACAGAGAAGAAACATTAAAAGTATGGTGGAATCCTCAGCAGGGAAATGAAGCCTTAGAGAATAGTATACATCTAACAAAAATGGGGAACAGGGTGACACTGTAGCTGGCTATTCATAAATGACCACAGATTTTCCTCATGGACCAAAAGTCCCTACAAAATAATCTGCGCCTCAATTATTGCTTATTTTAAATTACACTTTTACAGAGCTATTTAGTACCTGACACAGAAAAACAGTCACATAAGGAAGCATTTATTTGAGGTTTAACATGAAATCATACAAATAAAATTTGTATAAACACAAATCCACACTGAGTCGTAACACAGATAGCAAAAGACGAAGTAAAAACAAAGGAAACTAATTGGTGGCTATATACAGTTGGACGTGGTTGTGTCTTGCACACTAGAAAGTCTTTTACAAAATAATCATCTTAGATCAACAGAAGACCAATCTTCAATGTTGTCCTGCAAGATGGGTTAACTTTAAGCAATCTCCTCCTGTTTTCTCCAATGTCCTCCTTTAGTATGGCTGGTAATTGTTTTGGTAATTGCCACCCCCTCTAGACGCTTTGCCGTAAGGGCTCTGTTGGCCACTGTAGTCTACATATCCCTGTCCATAGTTATACCCAGTATGATCATAGCCGCCATAGCCACTATAGTTTTGATCACCACCATAGGCACTATTGTAATTTCCATATCCTTGATCATAATAGTTATTAAATCCCTGGTTCCAGTTTTGACCCTGACCTCGTCCACGACCCCTAGTACCACCTCGTCCACCAGCTGCAGCACCTCTTCCTCCTTTTTGTTGTTGCTGTTGCTGCCTATATACCTCTTTGGGTTGTGCAACTTTGATTTCACACTTCCGAGAACCAATTTGATGATACCTGCTTTCTAACAATTTCTTTACTGGCTCTTCGTCTGTATAGGTAATAAAACAAAATCCTCTTCTTTCGTTTCTTTTTGTATCCATGGGAAGTTCAATATATTCAATCTCTCCAAAGGCTCCAAAATATTCTTTAATTTGTTCTTCAGAAGTATCTGGGCTCAATCCACCCACAAAAACCTTTTTGGGGGGTTCTTTCCCTTTTAAAGCTTTGGCCCTTTCGGGGTTTATCAACTTGCCATCCAGTTTGTGTTCTTTCAGTTCCAAAACCTTATCAACACTAGCAGCATCTTTGAAAAGCACAAATCCAAATCCTCTTGGTCTTCCAGTCACTGGAACTGTTTTAATTGTACAGTCTACAACTTCCCCAAATCGAGACAAATATTCAGTCAGATCTTTCTTGCTTGTATCCCAGCTCAAGCCTCCAATAAACATTTTACCGTCATCCTGCTGATGCTTGCTCACGTTGATCTTGGATCCCTCTGCGAACTCCTCTATGTTGCTGTACTCGTTCATGTCCTCCATGGTGGCGGAGTTGGCGGCCGGGGTCGGCGCGGGGAGAGGCAGAGGGAGAAAATCCTCAAGTAGACTCCTTGCTGAGCGCAGAGCCCTGCTCGGGGCTCAATCCCATGAGCCCGAGATCATGACCTGAGCTGAAATCAGGAGTCCGACGCTTAGCCAATGGAGCTGCCCAGGTGCCCCACTCCTTGTGGGTTTTTCATTCATTGTGCCAGGAACTTCCATCTGAAAACTCACCATCTTGGACCGTGGGAAATTTCCTTCTCATTCCTACCTTCTTGTTCTCTTTCTCATCTAATACGTATTCCATATCCTGGAATAATTTTCCCGTTTTCTCTCTCTCCTCCTTTTTTTTTTTTTTTAATTTTTTTCTCTCCTTTTTTTCTAGGTATTTTTCTTTTTAGTCTACTTAACTCCCAGTTCTTCAATGAGTTTGTGTCTATCTTTGCCATCATAGTTCTTTCCCAGCTTCAAACTGCCTCTCATCTTTGGGAAAGTATTATCATAGGTTTGGGTTGTCGTTTGATGTTTTCATCTTTGCCTGCATTGACTTTGTTTTGGTGTTTCTTTACAGGTTTTCTTCCAAAGCTGGTAATCCTTGGCCGCTGGCTTTTCATATTGAGAATCTAGACATCATATAGGAAATGAAAGCTGTGTGTGCAACGTTGAGGACCTGATGGTTGGCAGGCCTCGTGTGGGGATTCTGGGTGCAGGTTTGGGGGTGGCAGGTAACACAACCTGTAGGTATGCAGATATTCCCTTGGTCTCCATTTTTAGGGTGCCACCTAACCTCACCCTCAGCCGGGCCCAGTGCCCCCAATACGAAGCCTCTCTGGACAGCATACCCTCTACTCCCTGCTGGGAAGAGGAGACTGGGCATCTCTGCTCCCTTTACAGACTTTTACCCTTCCCTGACTGTCATCTTCACACGCCCTTGGGTGCAGTGTTTCCCGGGTGGTCTGCTGTACCAGGTGGCTAGCTGCTTGCTTCCTTCGCACTGTGCAGGGGTTTGGGTTTCTGGTTTCTCAGGCTGCTAAGGCATTTTGTCTTCCAGAATGTTGTTGCCCTCCCTGGCCTTCTGTCTTTATATGTCACTGGAGTGGCATTTAGGGAGAAAGCAGGACTAGTGGAGCCTGTTCCTCTGCATCTCCTCCTTGGGGAGCCCTCCCTGACCACCCACTCCACTATTTCACAGGCCCACAGACCTTCATCTTTCCAGAGGCTCAATATGAAATGGGACACAAGTGGAGGTTTGGAAACCACTTGCTTAGAGGGGCGCTGAGAAGAGTTTATGGCTCCACTGATCTGGCTATGTTTTAGATTGCCAGTAAGGTGGCAGGTGGGCACAGGGGGCTGGCCAGGGCAGGTGGGGGGGGGCAGGTGGGGGCAGACCTGCAGAGGGGAATCATCTTTGGCAGGCAAGAGCAGCCTAGGAGAGGGAAAGGCCAGCAGGGCGCTCAGGGAACCGCAGGGGTGCACACTACAGGGGAGCTGAGTTTGTCACCCCACAATATGCCTCTTTGGTGGGAGGATTACTTTAGGCTGATTATATTTTATGAAACACAGGAGAAGCTCTGAGATAAGTAACTCTTTTAAGAAGAGTGATTTGCATTTCTAAGGGGTGTCTCCATTTGTAAGGTTGTCCTCCTACCTGTCCCGGCAAGAGGGGGATGACTTTCCATCTCTAGAAATTCTATCTGTGCCAAAGGCAGAGAATGGGAGATGCATAACCTTACCCTGTTCACTGAGCTCTGCCTGCAAACCTCCCACAATCTGCTCCTGGGCCCCAGTGTCCCTCGTGTTTTAGCAGGAGACAGTATCTCAGGGGAGGGTGTGGCCTTTGGGATGTTATTCCTTTTCCTGGGTTTCCCGGGGTATACAGGAGAGACACATGTTATAAAATTTTTGTGTTTCTCTCCTGTTAATCTTTTACTACAGGGAGTACTAAAGGTAGAGGGAAAATTCGGCTTCCTACATAAGGACTGAGACATAGTCTCCCCTCTCCTGTTTGCAGTGAAGGTCAGGGGAAATAAACTAGTAAACAGGCAGCATCCAAAAAAAAAAAAAAAAAAAAAGTGGAGCAAGGACAGTGGGAAGGAGTGCGCCCAGGGCGTGGTGAGAGGCCCTGCCTCAGAAGGGACAGATGGGTGGCCACAGGGATGTGAAAATAGGTGATGTCATCTGTCCAGGGCGGGTGCCACCAGGGCTGAGGACCTGCAGAATGGAAAGAGGTTTAGAACAGCCCTCCTGGGAAAAGCCTGGGCTTTGGAATAAGAGCCATAGGATGCCAGAGCAGGTTCTTTGCAAAGAAAGCACCGTGCTTCCACGACTCCAGGGACAGCTCACCAGGACTACACAGGCTGGCCTACTGAGGGTGACAGGAGGACAGAAATTGCAGTTAGGGAGCTGGAGAAGATGGTACACCTGCAGGGCTGATTCCTCCCAGCGATGCCCGCCAGTGCCATCTCTGTAGGTGGGGGAACCCTGCTGAGGGGAGGGGAAGGCTCAGGTGGCTGAGATGAGGCTCCAGTGCTCTGCCCTTCCGGCTGACCCCAAGGCCACAGATGAGTGCCCGTCAAGCACAGCCTAGGACTCAGGCCCTGTGGTGACAGCGACAGTTTACAAAGGACACTCCCGACTATATTCTTGTGTCTCTCTCACTTCTTTTCACTAAATTTTGATAAACCAATTCCTTCTCTGAATTTATTTTCAAAATTTTAAAAATCATAAAATACACAAAATATAAAATTTACCATTCTAACCATTTTTAATTATACAGTTCAGTAATGTTAAGTACATCCTGTCTCTAAGACTTTTTCCATCTTATAAAACTGAAACTCTATACCCCCTGCCCTGTCTCCCTACCCCTGGCAACCCCATGCCACTTTCTATTAGTTTCATCACTCTGGGTACCTCATGTAAGTGAAATTATTCAGTGTCTGTCTTCTTGCGGCTAACTTCACAGAGCATAATGTCCTCAAGGTTCCATGAGGATCCATGCTGCAGCCTGTCAGAATTTCTTTCCTACTTAAGGCTGAATAATACACCATCATATATAGGTACACCACATTTTATTCAGCCATCCTCCAGTAGATATTTGGGTTGCTTCCACTTCTTGGCTATTGTGAATAATGCTGCCATGAACGTGAGATTGCTGGATCATATGGTTATTCTATTTAATTTTCTTAAGAACCTCTTTCTGTTTTTCCACTAGCAGCTGTACCATTTTTACATTCCCACCAAGTGTACAAGTGTTCCAATTTCTCCACATCTTTGTCAGCACTTGTTCCTTTTTGTTTTGCTTTTTTTTTCTTTAAAGATTTTATATTTATCCAATGAGAGACAGAGAGAGAGAGGCAGAGACACAGGCAGAGGGAGAAGCAGATTCCCCGCAGGCAGCCTGATGCAAGACTGGATCCCAGGACCCTGGAATCATGACCTGAGCCCAAGGCAGATGCTCAGCCACTGAGCCACCCAGGTGTCCATTTTGTTTTTTTGTTGTTTTTTTGATGGTGGCCATACTGGTGTGAGGCAGTATCTCACTGTGGTTTTGAGGATTAGTGATGCTAAGCATCTTTTCATCTGCTTATTGGCTATTCGTATATCTTCCTTAGAGGAAGGTCTCAAGTATTTGCTATTGAATTTTAATTCTCTAGCTCTTCTGGATATTAACCTCTTACCAGGCACATGATTTATAATATATTCTCTCACTCTGTAGGTTGCCTTTTCATTTTGTTGACTGTCCTTTGATGCACAGTTTTGAGCTTAGGTGTTGTCCAATGTATTTTTACTTTTGTTTCCCATGTTTTGGTGTCATATACAAGAAATCACTGCCAAATCCAGTGTCATGAAACTTTTGCCCCATGTTTTCTCCTAAGAGTTTTATAACATTAGCTCTTATGTTGTTGGTCCTTTTTGTATGTGGCATACAGTAAGGGTCCAACGACATTCTTTTGCATACAGAGACCGAGTTTTCCAGTCGTTGTAAAGATTGCTCTTTCCCCCTTGGTCTTGGCACCCTTACCAAAAATCATTCAACTATATTTGCAAGGACTGATTTCTAGACTCTCATTGTCTTTCATTGTGTCTCTATGTCAGTACTGCCCTGTTTGTTTGTTGTTATTTATTTATTTTTTATTTGAAGATTTTATTTATTTATTCATGAGAGACACAGAGAGAGAGGCAGAGACACAGGCAGAGGGAGAAGCAGCCTCCATGAGGGAGCCTGACGTGGGACTTGATCCCGGGTCTCCAGGATCACGCCCAGGTGCCAAACTGCTGAGCCACCCAGGGATCCCCTGCCCTATTTTTTATTGCTGTAGCTCTGCAGTAAGTTTTTTGAGATAAGTAAGCATGAGAGCTCCAGCTTTGTTATTTTTCAAGATGACTTTGCTTATTTGGGGTCCCTTGATATTCCTTATGAATTTTAGGATGGATTTTTCTATTTCTGCAAAAATGCACCTTTAGAAATTTTCATAAGAGCTACTTTAAACCTGTAGATCACTGTGGGTAGTGTTAGCATCCTAACAATAGTCTTCCAATCCATGGACATGAGCTTTCTTTCCATTTATTTGTATTTAATGTTTTTAAGCAACATGTTGGTAATTTTCAGTGTGTAAGTCTTTCACCTCCGTGGTTATGTTTATTCCTAGGTATTTTATTATTTTTGATGTTACTGTAAGAGGAGGAATTAGTTTTTATATTTTCAGATTTTCCATTGTTAATATATAAAAATGCAACTGACTTTTTGTGCACTGATTTTGTATCCGGCAGCTTTGATGAATTCATTTATTAGTTCTAACAGTTTTCTTATAGAAATCTTAGAGCTTTCTACATATAAGATAACATAAGCAGTGATAATTATTTTTACTTCTTCCTTTCTAATTTGGATCTCTCTCATTACTTTTATTTGCCTGATTGTTTCAGGTAGGACTTCTGATAGTATGTTTAATAGCATCCTTATCTAATTTCTATTCTTAAAGGAAAAACATTGTCTTTTATTTTTGAGAATGAGGTTAGTTCGGGGTTTTTCATATATGGCCTCTATCATGTTGAGGTAGTTTCCTTCTATTCCTAGTTTAAGTGTTTTCACCACAAACTGGTGCTGAATTTCGTCAAACTTTTTTTCCCTTCATTTTGTTAATGTGCATTACATTGATTTTCTTATGTCGAACCACCCTTGCATTCCTGAGATAAAGTCCACTTTGTCATGGTACATAATTCTTGTAATGTGTTGCTGAATTCTGTTTGCTAATATCTTGTTTAGAATTTTTGCATCAATTCTCAGCAGGAATATTAAAATGATAAAAATATCTACTACTATACTACTACTAGCTTA